GGGGCAAGCTGCCTCAGACTTCGGAGAAGCGTTGTGGTTAGTGAGCGAAGAGGCGCAGGGGACGCACCTCCACCAAAATGTTACGGTGTTGTCGTTGAAGGAGTAGACAGTCTCTGTCGGTCGGCTTTTATTTGGAACTGCCGGGCTCAGCTCGAGCTGTCGCGCGCCCTAGCCATTTGTCTGGTGCGCTCTTTTTCTTCATCTATATAACAATATATATATATATATATATATATATATATATATATATATATATATATATATATATATATATATATATTGATCTGACTTCCTTTTAGATTATTAATGTCTCTTTTTCTTCAGCGGAACTGTAGAGGCCTCCTTCCTAACTATGACTATGTGAGCCAGCTACTATAGATGATCACGGCCCCATTGCATTTTGCTTGCAGGTAACACATCTAAAAGCGAGCCACACTAATATATTAAAGTACTTCCGGATGTTTCGCAAGGACCGGTTACAAGCCGTTCATTCATCTGGAGGCGTTGCAGTTGTAGTGCAACGCTCAACCCCATGTAGCGAAGTGACTCTGCAGACTTCGTTGGAGGCTGTGGCAGCCCGCATTTTGTTAGATAGTTTAATTACATTTTGTTCCTTATATATACCCCCCAGTTATCAGCTAAAGATTGAAGAGCTTGAAGACCCTGTTAGTCAGCTCCCACCGCCTTTTCTGCTTTTGGGAGATTTTAATGCACACTCCTTTGTGGGAAAGTGGCAGACGAGATCCCAGAGGGGCTCTCATTGAACGCTTTCTTCTTTCCTCGGGATTGTGCCTAATTAACACAAATGAAGCCACATATTTTAGTTCAACAACTCACACTTTCACTTCCATTGACCTATCTATTTGTCACCCATCATTATTCCCATTGTCTTCATGGATGGTCATCCCGAATCCTCACGGAAGTACCCCTTTCCCATCATTTTAGAATTTAACCATCTTCCAATGACAGTCCCCACGCGCTCTCCTCGTTGGAAATTCGAAAACGCCGACTGGTCAACTTTTAAAGAATCGTCTCTTTTGGCATGCACATCACTTGACGATCTCGATATCGACAGAGCCACTGAACATATCACTCACCACATTTTACAGGCTGCCATTCTTTCCACCCCCATGACGTCCTCGCATCTACCCAGGAGACCTAAGCCCTGGTGGAACAAAGATTGCCGTTTGGCCAAAAAAGAACAAAATCTAGCTTGGGGTATTTTTAGGTGCTACCCTACAACACACAATATCATTGAATTTGAAAGAAAAAGAGCCCAGGCGAAGTAGATTCGAAGGCAAGCAAAGAAAAAAAAAAGTTTTAGAGGGTACGCTTCCTCAATTAACAGCACTATACCTGCGAAGCTATAGTGCTGTTAATCTTCTGCTGAGTGATGTGTAGGGCTGGGGGAGCCTCTTCAGGCGGCGTTAGATCGCCTTTTGCTTCCTCAGCCCAGACGCAAAGTCTGAATAAAGATATTATTATAAGGAAGTCTGGGATCGCGTACATAAAATTGACGGCTCTTACCCGGCATTCACTGTCCCACTCCCGAGTCGAAATGGAGTGTGTTCTGTAAGTCTTGAGGAACAGGCCAACATCCTTGGCGAGCATTTCGAGTATGTCTCCAGTTCCCAACATTATACTCAGACGTTTCAGCGACACAAGATAAATGCAGAAAAAAAAAAAGCTGTTAACACATCAGGTGGCACGCACGAAACCCTATAATACTCTATTTACATTATATTAACTTCAAATGGCACTTCTTTGTCCCAAACAAACTGCCCCTGGGGACCAGATGGTATTCATTATAAAATGCTTGAACATCTTCATCCCTCCACTATGGAGCTAATTTTGTACCTTTTTAATAAAGTTTGGCTCGAGGGCCACTTTCCATCCTCTTGGAAGATTGCTATCGTTGTACCAGTGCTGAAGCCCGGAAAAGATCCCTATTGTGCATCTAGCTTTAGACTAATAGTTCGAACAAGCTGTCTTTCCAAGACACTAGAAAGGATGATCAACAAGAGACTGATGTTTTTCCTAGAACGAAACAACTGCCTTGATAAGTTCCAATGTGGCTTTCGTTCAGCACGGTCCACTGTCGATCATCTCGTCCGCTTTGAGACCTTCGTACGTGAGGCGTTTGTCAACAGGCAACAGTGTCTCTCCATCTTCTTTGATTTGGAGAAGGCATACGACACGGTCTGGCGTTACGGCATACTGCAGGATTTGTTCGATCTTGGTTTCCGTGGCCGAATGTTGAGTGCTATACAGAGTTACCTGCAGCAGCGTACTTTCCACGCGAGGCTGGGAAAAACTCTCTCTAAGGTATTTTTACAGGAAAATGGAGTCCCTCAGGGGTGTGTGCTGAGTGTCACTCTTTTAATCGTCAAACTTAATTCCATTGGCCTCCTTCGGTGCAGTATTCTTTATATGTTGATGATCTCCAGATCTCCGTTTCATCCTGTAATTCCTCAATTTGTGAACGTCGCGTCCAACTTGCGGTTAATAATTTGGTCAAATGGGCCGATACAAATGGTTTTAAATTTTCTCCCGAAAAAACAGCTTGTGTCAGCTTTTTTTGTCGATGTGGTGCTCTCCAGAAACCGTCTTCGAACATGTATGGTTCTCCTATTGTTGTAAAAAATGAACACAAGTTTTTGGGCCTTGTGTTCGATTCCAAGTTGAATTTCGTTTCACACATTAAGAGCTTAAAACTCAAGTGTCTTAAATCTCTGAACATCCTTAAGGTCTTGTCATATGTATCATGGGGCTCCGACCGACTGTGTCTGTTGCGTATCTATCGCTCAGTCATTCGCTCTCAGCTTGATTATGGTTGTATTGTCTATAACTCTGCTCGGGCATCAGTTCTAAAGATGTTAGATCCTATTCATCATCAGGGACTGCGATTGGCTACAGGTTCATTTCGCACCTCCCCAGTGCTTAGCCTTTACGCGGAAGCAAACGAACTGTCCCTTGAGTATAGGAGGTTTTCCCTGGGTTTTATGTACTCTGTCAGGGTGCGCTCTGTCGTGGAGCACCCCGTTCGAGATAATATTGAGACTATCAAGTTCCAATGTACATTTGAAAACAAACCTTCCATAGTCCCCCCTCTTTCTATGAGGAATAATACTGCAGCACAATCTGTTGGGATTGATGCAAAGCCTCAGCTAGTCCAGTACCCACCAGATATAGCTCCATGGAACAACTGCCACATACATTGCGACCTTACACTGACCAAGTATAACAAAAAGAATGTTCCACAGGAAGTCATAAGGCAGGACTTCTTTGAGCTTCAGACCAAATATCACGAGAATGCCAGTTTTTATACAGACGGGACAAAAAAGACTCGGTAGTAGGCTGTGCTATGGTGGGACCATCAGTAAATCAGGTGAAGAGAATAAATTCAAAAGCCTCTATACTAACAGCAGAGCTTTATGGTTTGCTGCTGGCTGTTGATTACATAATCAAAAAACGACTTTCTCACGCTGTAATCTACACCGACCCTTTAAGCTCTCTGAAGGCAGTCGCATCAATGAACCGTGTAAAAAACCCACTGGTTTCTGAGTTAAAGCACAATATTATCGGGTCCATATCACTTGAGCGAATGACATTTTAGCGAACAGCGACATTTGAGCGAATTAACGTTTTAGCGAATAACGGGGGCGCGCGTTAACCCATCCGCCGCGCTGCGCTTACGCCGCTTCGCGGCGACAGTCTGCGGCGGCTCATTACAAAAATGTGAACCCATTTGTCCCACCCAAAAACGCCGTTTCGCGGCGTCCGACTATTCGCTAAAGTGTCATTCGGTGAAACGTGGGCGTTCGCTAAAACGTCATTCGATCAAGTGAGTGCCTCCCAAGATTATCCTGGCTGCTAAGAAAAATCTTGACATAGTCTTATGCTGGGTTCCTAGCCATGTTGGCATTCCTGGAAATGAAACAGCTGATTGTGCAGCTAACTCTGCTAATGATCGAGAAATTGACACACACCAAATACCCTACACAGATTACCACAACTCTCTGAAACTTTGCATCAAAGCAAAGTGGCAGCTGCAGTGGAACAGCGAAACCAGCAACAAACTAAACGCAATCAAACCTTTTCTAGGCGAGTGGGAGAGTGCCCGACATGGGGAGCGCTTTTATGAAGTCATACTCTGTAGGTTACGAATCGGTCATACTCGTCTCACACATGGACGCCTCTTGAGCGGGGAGGATGCCCCTGAATGTGTGCACTGTAACTTACCTCTAAGTATTATGCACATACTCATTGAATGCCCTATGTATGACCAATGCCGGCATAAACACTTCTCACTGCTTTATAAAGAACACATTCCACTACACCTCGCCCTACTACTAGGTGACGAACTGCTCATTCCATACAGTTGTGTTCTTAATTTCCTCACAGATATCGGCCCAAGCAGCACAGAGTTGGCCAGTATCGGCAAATGGCTGGCAATGGTCCTTGGCCAAGTGGCCAGACAGTGGCCAGAGACTGGCCGGTGACTGGCCTTTATCTGGCCATTGGCCAATGACCACTGGCCATCAGCCATCGGCCAAGCACTGGCCAATGAATGGCCACTCTCTGGCCACTGGACAAAAGACCGTCGCCAGACATTGGCCATTGCTTGGCCGAAATCCGTGCTGCTTGGGGGCCTTCTACACCGTCTGTGATTTTACTTTCTATCCTAAATTCATTGTCATATTGTTTACACTTATACACATTCATGTTCATGGTTTTATCATATATTTCGCTACTATAGCTCTTTCCTCTTCTTAAACCCGAATTGCAATAGTCTAAGCTTGGCGCAATATAGCCTTAGTTGCTGATGCGCCATAAACCCCCAATCAATCAATCAACCATTCAGACTTGCTGCCAACTTGTACTGGGTAGCGCCCACTTGCCCTTTCCTGAAGTATGCTTAACACTGGGGAACGACAAAACCACTGCTCAGCTCCCCCAGTGGTCCCCAGAAAAAAAAGAAAGAAAGACAATTGGATGGGTGGCAATTGGCTTTAATATATCGACTCTTCCGTCCCAATTTGACGGACTTTGTGGAGCTCACGGATGTGCATCCACGACCGTGTTCAGCCCCGTGCCAGGCCAAGAGGTATTGGGGAACAGAATCCACAAAGGACCTTTCGCGACGATGATATGTGCACCGCTCTGGCGCGGCCTCGTGATCAAATGGAAATAAATAGCTCTCACAGCGAAGGCGTGCAGGCCTCCGTGCTTACGGAACGAGCGATGGAACATACAGTGACACACAGGTAAGGACGAAGCACATTTCCAAGAAAGAGAACGGTCCCCAACCGCGTCTCGTGCGCGCGACCAGCACGCGCGAAGGGACAAATCGATCGGTGGGCACAGAAAGGGGAATCGCCATGATCCCGGGTAAAACGCTAACTCACTCGGCCGAGGCAAGCCAAGGAAGACGAGGCAAGCCGAGACAAGACGAGGCAAGCTGGGACAAGCCCAAACAAGCCGAGTCAAGCGAGGGCGATCCGAGCCAAGCCAAGGCAAGCCGAGGCAAGGTAAGACTAGCTAACGGAAGCCTAGGCAAGTCAAGGAAAGCCGAGGCAAGCCAAAGCGAACCAAGACAAGCCATTGGAAGCTGAAGCAGGCAGCCAAGACGAACCGAGGCGAGTGAAGAGGAGCCAATACAAGTCAAGGGAAGCCGAGGCCAGCCAAGGCAAGTCAGTACGAGCCAATGCAAGCCCGGCTGTGCGGGTAGCGTTCGGTATCCGGGTGGTTCGGCAGATCGTGATGATCGGGGGAGTCCGCTCTAGAAGAGCCTCTTGCTGATGCCGAAGCGGATGCCCTTGTTGGAGACCCGCACTTGGCGCAGCTTCCTAGACGCGGCCTGCCTGCGCAGCATCTCCACCAGTTCGGCCGCCGTGTAGCGGACACCGCCGCCATTCAGCCGCCGGGAACGACGCACTGCGGGACACAGGAAGGAGGAAGGTTAGGCAGGGATGCGGATCTGGGCACGAGTATCCAAACCCGTACAGCCGCAGTTGCGCGGCTCATATGTCCTACAAGAGACGCAGACATAAGGAGAGAATTTTACGTCTGGAAACAGCGCTCAAAAAACAGACGAGGAAGGTGCAGACGGGACAAATTCAACAAATTATTTAATAAAAAAAACAAAAAAAAAACAACAACATCGAGCTAACTCTCCACATTGCTGTCGCGTCGGCTCGTGCCTCAAAAGGGCTACCTCATTCTTATGTAAAAAAAAAAACACAAAAAAACCTAAGCTTTCTGACTGACGCCTATTGCGCCTTCCTTTCCCATCTCAACCCCCCTTTTAACGACAGAATATCGCTATCATTTCGACGTCGACAGAATTCGTCGGCAAATAGGGTTCGTTTTGACCGACCTTCCCATCTTCGCCGCGGAGCTGACATCACCGCGCTGCACCATAAAGACGCTATGTTTTTGTCATTCGTTGCGTGCTCCGGAGAGAAATCCCCGGGATTTACACGCTGCGAGTACAATAAGGTTAGTTTATAATCACGAGGTTTCCCTTAAAGGAAACCGGAACATCCAACGTCAGCACGTAGAGCGAGATTTGTTTTTTTCTTTAACAATTTTTTATTTTCTCATCAATTCTTATAAATGCCATTCACGTTTCTCTCTATTTCCGAGAAGCAAATGCCTGTCTGCCTTTTTTTGTTTGGCGCTCGAATTAACATATGAATGAACAGCGTGGCTTTAGGCTTAGCGTGAAGTTGCATATCGTTGATGAGTTTTCGGGGATACTATCTCATTGACGTCGCTCGCTGAACCGTATGTGTCGTCCCTTGTACTCATTGTCCGGCAAGGCGAACACGCGGATGATATGAATATCCGGTATGAATATGAACTTTAGCTTAGCCCCGCGCATCGAGTCGTCCTAAAATTAACTGATTTAGGGGTATTGGATGAAGATAAAGAAGGTTCTAATTATACCAAGGCTGCCTCAATGTCCTTCTGTTTAGGGCGATGCCACCCTTTGTAGTACTCGATGGCCGACAGCACGCACTCACGGAGAAAATACAAAGAAATCGACGAAAACAATATGTCGCCATAGCACAGTCAGCGCCACAAACGCGTGCACGGACACGCTCTTTCACGCGCTTCTGAACAAAAAATAAACGCGTGGAACAAAATTGCCAGATGTCTCCATTCTAAGCAAAGCGCAAATGAAGGCACCCTCTAATCAGCAAAAAATATATCTATTACAAATTAATATTTTGAGTTAGTGAAAATAAACATATGGGTATAATTATAATTATACCCATATGTTTATTTTCACTAACTCAAAATATTAATTTGTAATAGATATATTTTTTGCTGATTAGTATGTTTTTGCAATCTATGACATCTGCCGTGGCTAGCAGTTTGTTCCCGAAAATAATATTTTTTTTTTTCCTCAAACAACCTTTTTTTAGGAATGTTCGAAAGTCTTTGCCATACACATCCGATATATACGAAAAAAAAAAAAAAAAAGATGGCAATCGCAAAGAAAAACAACAGCAACAACAACAACAAAACGTACGACTTCCGTGAGCCAATCAGAGAGATGGAGTGAATCACCTCATAGCTCTCCACAGGGGAAGGAGTCTATAATACGGTTCGTTGTCACGTGACTCTTTCCGACTTTCTGATTGGCCTGCTAGAGTCTGGCTCATAGAGCAACAAACGACGTCACAGGCAAAAAACGTGATCCCGGCGCTGATGTTCTGGCAAAAACTATGAGCAAACGGATGCGGCGCTATTGTCGCGGAATCCCATCTCCTGGCTGCTGAAGCTTCCGTCAGTCAATTTAGAGAGTGACTTGCCGCAGAACCTGCGTGTGCCACATCTACTCCCGCTGCCGCGCCACCGCCAGGATCACGGCGGGCGTCATCAGGCGTGACGTCATCAGGCGGTAATCGAGGGACCATATTTGAGGACGCCGTAAGCGCGCTAGCCGGGGACGCGTTCCAGGCACCATGCCCCACGGCACTCACTGAGGTCGTCGTGCCACCGGTAGTAGTCGGACGACGGAGGCGGTGAGGCGAGCCACTGGAGTTTCTCGCTGGCCGGTTCGATGCTGGGGCCGGCCTCCAGCCACGGGTCTGCGTCACACGGAAAAAGGCGCCCTGATCCAACAGCTCCTAGATGGCGAGGCCGTGGTGCTTGACCTTCTACGTCAGCTACAGAAGGCCAGAGTGGGCCACAGATTGGGCACGAGTGCGACGTCAGCGTTTGGCTGGGACTCGTACTTAAGCTTTGGCCTCCAGTATGTGACGTCATATATCAAGCTCTACGGCCTTCGTGTCTGGGAGGTGATGAGACCCCGCGGAGGAGCAGCAACCGACGTTCACCAAGGGGCACGCAGAGGAGGCAGCCACGCCCTCCGTCTGTGGTACCGGAAATTGCTTTCTTCTGCGCGGCTCTTGACATCTAAAGTAATGCGGTATTCTCACTTTTCTAAGATCCTTTTTTCAGGCGAGCATTTCGAGTTTTATTTGCTGGCAGCTCTGAGTTCCGCAATATGCAACGAGGGACAAAAAAAAAAAAAAAAGAACAAGTTTAGGAAAGTAAGACAAGAAACGATTCAGCTATAGCCGGTGAAAGGCCAAGAACGAAGTGGAAGCTCCTCCCACTCTTTCCACTTCAGCGAAGCGAACGGTGGAGAGGAGGTCGCCTCCTCTCCACCGCCCGCTCTTCTAAAGTGGAAAGAGGTGGGAGGAGTCAACGCGTGCCGAAATTCGTTTCATCAAAGAGGCTTTCGGCGCGCGCCGAACAAGATTCCACCTCCCCAACAGAACTTGCAAAGATTATGCCTCCGAGTCATCGTTACACAGCCTTCGCCGATTATATTTTGGTGTCATGATACACCAGAAGCCATGACGTCAGCGGCTCCCAATCAAAATGCGCGTTTTTTTTTTTTCCTATTTGTTTTGGTGTGCTCGCAGGCCGAAGTTTTTTCCGATGACGGGATGAAACGTCATAGAGTTCTGATGTCACGTGCGTCGCATCATGGATGTTCGCTAATCCCCCAAGCCTGCGGGATGCAGCGCAGATTCTGGGACCTGCCTACGGAATATCCGACGTTAGAGGGAACGCTCCCCTCCTTTTGGGCCCGGAAAGGATTACGGCCAGCCTTATTGAGTGATTGAGCTTCGAGGGTGTCGTTCTTCTCTTTCTGTCTTTCCCTGCCTCTTGTTCGATCGACTCCCTGAGGTCGTAAACACGTTCAGGAAAAGAAAGACTCCACCGACTCAGCACTCCGTCGTGCGAATGCTCGCTAAGGTTTTCTTCACTACCCTCTCCTTCTCCTCGCGGCTTATTCTCCTCAAAGATTTATGACGTTCCCGGTTTTCTCTAGAGATTAAGGCCTGTCATGCGAGCACACCCGCCCCTCCACTACAGATAGTGTACTCTATCCAACGGACACGGACGACCGAGAGGAATGGCGCCTAAACACTCGTGGGAACCTTTGACGACGTGGAACAGCTGAGAACGGCTGGGAGGGGGCTTTTGTTGTCTCGCCTCCGGCGGAAGCTTCGTATACCTTTGAAAATGCCTCGGCGTTTCGTGCACAGTTGAGTTTGCAGCCAAAGCACAGCGGAAGGCACGATGCACGTGCCGGAGGCCGGGTGTTGTTCGGAAGACGTGTCCTGCCGTTCTCACTCTGCGCGTGACTGTCGTAGATTCAGAGGCAGCCGTAGACCCTTCTGCTGTTTACAGACATGAACCGCCGCTTGCGTTCCAAGCGACTTCCGGTCGCACTGTCTTTGCGAACCTGTTGAGCTTGCTCATGTCACAAGTGCTAGAAGGCATAAATGCTACACGGACAACAAAGGTGCAGATTTAACAGATTTAACGAGGGCCTTCGGCTGTACAATATTGCAACTTGGAGGAATCAAGTTGGATTACAAGAATACTGGAAGAAGATCTCGCACTCCTTCGTTCTTTCGGCGTTCACCTGGATGATTGGCGGTTAAACGTTTCATCTACATTTCAGGCAGTGACGTGAAGGTGGCCTTTATTTAATCTTTTTATAAACCGCATGTTCTCCGGGACGTCAAAGACTGGAGAACCACTTGGTGGCGTTTTCCATCAAAAGATTCTATAGTTCTACTCACCTCAAATATCGTAATAAAAAAAAAATCTGGTTACTCGCGGCACATTACTAATTTTCCCCTTAATATGTTGAATTAAGATAGGTGCATATATGTGCATCCTTGATTAGCTTCGTGTCACTTCATCAAGACGTACACGTTTCAAGCACGAAAGACATCGTTTCTTTCTCCGCCAACAACATCTTGTAAGAACTACTTTGCGAAGCCAAGGAATGATGCGCAAAGCTTCATTTTTTCTTGATGTGACAAGGGGTATGCGGGTAGGAGCTGAGGGGGCGGAGGAATCAAGGTTCACAGGGACGCGAGAGAGCCGAGCTCTGACTAAATGATTCTTGTGTGGACGCAAAGCCTTTGTCCCTCTTCACTGCTCGATCGCGTTCAAACACGAACGCGAAAGCCAGCGTTTGGCGTTCGAACGCGTTATAAGAGTGAGTAGAGACAAACTTGAATATGCCGAGCGAAACGATCGGAAATTGAGTGGAATCCTACGATAGCTTCATGGCCGCCCAAAACCGCTCGGATAGTTCGCCGTGAAGACCAACATGCGTACCTCTAGGATCCCTTCGCGCGCTTCCCGACGTCAAGCAGCAGAAGAAAAGAAAACAAATACATACTCGAAACAATACAATTTACTGTGACGGCCGCTCGATCCTTCGATTCTGAACGCAACGACAACAATCCCACCGACTTAGGTGACCGTAGCCGTACCAACAGGGAAGGCCTAGGAAGGCGCTCTTTTCTCGCTGTGTCTGCCTTGTTAAATAAATGTTCGCGCTCGACATTTTTTTTTTTTTTGCTTTTTTTTTTCTAAATGAATTTTCTTTTTTTGTATGGATAGCCTAAATCTTGACCTAGATGTTTCGGTTAGAAGATGGGGCTTATCTCTTCGCCGTCCCGTTGTCATTTTCGAAGTGTTGCCCGGTGGTGGCGGACGCTCTCGTCTCAGTGACACACTCGTTGATTCTATTTACAGATCTTTTCGAGGTACAGACCAAATAAACACCGTAGGGATTACCAACGCATCATGTACAATTTATTTTTGTGTGTGTGTGTGTGTCTCTAAAGCTCCGCAAGCACACTACAAAAAAACAACAACAAAAAAAAACAACAAGATATGGCGATCGGAATTCTAAGTTTGATGCCTGCTCGGCCGTCCTCGCGACTGATTTCTGTTTGCTCTGTCTGTTTCCGACAGGCGGAAAACAACAACAACAACAGCAACAACAACAACAGCAAAAACAACAACAGCAACAACAACAACAACAACAACAACATCAACAACAACAACAACAACAACATCAACAACAACAACAAAAAACAAGAAAATTCGCTTTTGGAACTACGCCGGTATATTGTTTGTTTCTTTTATTTCGGAGACAGGGTCACAAGGAGGAACGACAAAAGGCAGATAAGCTCTGCCTGACGAGGCCCGGTTCCCTCAGTACACTGCATCAACAGTCAATGAAAAAAAAAAAAAAAAAAGACAAGTACAAAACATCGAAAAAAAAAAAACATCGGCAAAAAACAGCAGTCCAATATCATTGGTACCATTACCTCCACAAGGATGAAAATTAGACGTCATATTTTATACAGTAGCTAAAATAGACCTGTTCATATAATGCTATACACAGTGTATGTAAAGACAAATTGACGTTCAAATTTATTGCTATTTATTATAGAAGCCATTGTATTCGTACACGAACACGGCGGCCTCAATGTACCGTATTTTCCGACCCGCCGACTATGCATGTTTAATATGATGGAAACTTGGGCGAGTTGGTGGTACATAATTAACGAGAAAGTAAAACAGTGCCAAAAAAACGGAGGACAAGAAGAAGTGAACAAATCGTGATCGGTTCCGTACACTTGATCTTCTTGTCCTTCGTTTTTTGGTGCTGTTTTACTTTTCGTTAATCATATGCATGTTTAAACGTTGAAATTTCACTGGGAGTATTTACAAAAGCGGACTAGGCAAGAATTTGAGATAGTGAGCTGAATCTTTTTGCCTTTTTTTTTTCTGAAGCAGAACTACCGATTCTTAAGCCAAGTCAGGAAAGTCCCACTTTCGCCAATAGTCGCGGACAACCTAAGAGACGCAGGGCGAAGCATAGTATGTTCACGATCCCTGCGATATTTACTCGTTCTCAAATTTTATTAGTGGCTAATGCCGAAATGTCATTGGTCGTGAAATGATAATGTAATGCCCGGAATCCCTATACCGATTTTCTTTTTCATTGTATTTCTTTTCTTCTAATGTCTTGTGGATCACATTTGTTCAGACGGCACATTTTGAACAACATACCTTAAAAAAAAAAAAGAAAAACATCTTGGGGAATTTACGCATTCTGTACGGTGAAACACCGCGACAGGTGAGGTGTTACGTCGGGGCCACTAAGGGTGTTATCTCGGAGCAGATGGACTCAACGAACGGTAAAGGTACGAGCGCGCTCCATACATAGAGTCCGCTTAGGCGTTTTGTATTCAACCCAGTAACACGCCGGACGAAATTTCCGTAGCGTTTTGGAACCAGAGAGGGTGTATTAAGTAGAAAGCATTTCCCGAACCTGTTAGACAATTACATTGGACACAAACTAGGACTGCCTCGTGGTAATCGAAGAACACTTCGAACACGCTTAAGTTTGAACACGCTTAAGTTTGAAATTCAGGGAACGACAAAACTGCATGTGTATGCATGAACCTTACCTTCCCTGTCGTTGGTGTGGCTGCCTGAAAGTCGTATACGATATAGATCACACGCAAACAAGAAAAGCGCCATCTAGTGTCTTCAGGATCAATGATCAAATTTCCGCCATATTGGGGGCTTCTCGTATCGATAGTTTCGCCCGACTAACAACGGTCTTAGCAAAGTGGGAATTGTAGATCTTAAATATGATAACGTGCTGCCTGTCTAGTACGAACTCTTCACACGGCGTCTTGGATAAAGACCGTCCACTGACCTGAATGGCCCAGTTCACTGCTGAAGCGAC